ATATGTAGTTATCGATAGGCAAATAAAAAATAATGAGATAATGAGGGTTGTTAAAGATTATTACAAAACCCCAAATGTCTGTTATTGTTTTTTGATTTTGAAACTACTATCTTGCTCTTTTTAGAAGTCCTGATTTAGACGCATAATTGAAATGTATGTTGGGTCGACTGTGGCTACTATGAAAAACCGTTGTTAAGCCAAGCATTCTCTTACTTCACTTTAACTTTTGTTAGGAGATGCTTAATCTGAGTGTTTTCCTTTGTCTTCATTTTCTTCGTCGACATTTTTTTTGTGACTAAATGAACGAGAACAGTATGAACTGTTAAGATTTATATTTTAAAAGCTGGGGGATTCTTGAACACTAAAAACTTCTACATTCACTCTTTCGAACTCTCACTAGCACTAGTCAAGTTGGTTTACATGGTCTTACACTTTTCACTTAATTTTTCGTCTCGTTTTATGAGGCTTAACAAAGATTGTTCTAGTTCTAAGAAAAAAATCTAATAAAAAAATTTTTTCGTTAAAGAAGAATGTCTGCTCCTCCGATACTAGAACATAGAATCAACATTTTTTTTAGTTGGTAATTTTCAGGTAAAAGGTTTGAAAAATTTAAATTTTTACTTAATAGCTGATTAAAAGTTTGATCTTTTTTGAAATAACACATCTGGTTTGGCAGTGTTGATGAACAAAAATAGTATTTCATAGACCCAAAGAGTACGGAAAAAAACAAATTAAACACTCGTTAAAGCTCTATTACTTATCAGCTGCAACTAACAACAGAAGCATTGTACAGCCAAACTTGCTGATAATTCAAAAAAGTTTTTATTGAGCGGTCACACGTATTTTTTAGCTCCTAGCGACTATTCCACAATCATTGTCACCAAAACTGGTATTTTTAACAGTCTTATTAGATTTTCACAAGATTTTCACAAATTTTTCCGCTGTACAAACCAAACAATTATTAAGGTGATAGTGAATTGAATTTGTCACGCTTCAACAACTTTTTATATTTACTGGCATTATATTAACAGTTTTGTACACTTTACAGTGAAAACGAAACAGCGGAATTCGTCTTGATTTAGCTGTTATGATAGCAACACCAGCTGATTAAGGGTCGCAACATTAAAAATTTTCTACCATGCACTCTGCATATTGGCATGATAATGTTAATGCGGTATTTGTACTGTTTATAAGTTCTCGTAAGGTAATAAAATGACTTAGAGTTAACAGAAAAAAGAGTAAAAAAAATGAAAAGAAAAAAATGAATTTTTGAGTAAGAGTGAGAAAATCACATTTATTTTTCAAATCACCTCTTTGCTCGCTTTATTTTCACATCTACAGCAGAGTTGATAAAGACCGTGGATTAGGCCAATGTTCAGAATAAAAGTTAAATACACTAAGGTTTTCCACAGATTTTTTTCGGAAGAATCTAGTTAATTTAAATGATTTGAAATATCGCAATTTATTCACAATTTTTTTTTTATATTTGATGAACAGCTAATAAATGAAGTTCTTTTCTTGGAAAGGCTGTTCTGAAGCTGAGGAAGTATCAGCCATAATGAGGATATTTCAGCTGCAGTAACACTAAAAAGTTTTATAAGTTTATAGCTGCATTTCAAAAAAGTTTTTTTCAAATGTGCACATATGTAGGTCAATAGTCATTGAAACTTTATTAATATTTGTGCGAAAGATAGTGAAGAAAGAAGAGTGCTTTCAGTTCCAAAACTCACGCCTCAGCAGTTACTTTTTTCTATTGAAATTTTATTTGGTTTTTTAGAGATAAAAATATAGTTGAAAAAGAACTTAAACTGCTAGAATAAAAAAAACAGATTATTCCTATTTTTCCAATTTTTTTTTTTTTTTTTGAAATTATTGCGCAAATTGCAGGAAGCATAATGCAAAAGTTTTCTTTTTTGATGTCTATTCTCTACTAATATGAAATTTACGGTTTATTAGAGAAAAAGACAAATATAAAAAAGATTGAAATAGAAAAGCCAAAAAAAGTGGAAATGAGAAACGTGAAGAAATTTTTTTATTTAGTGCTTCTTAAGCGCCACCTTATGAAAACTTTCATTTCTCTGCCTTATTTCATTGCTACTGTTTGGTTTTTTCCACCGACAAGACTTTTATAGTCTTGAACTGTTTAAAAACTGGTACGTATTTAAAACTTTAAAAAAAAGAGACAAAAAATCAATTACATTATATATGATCTTTGTTGAGTTTTAGATAATAGACGTTTTCTGTGTTAACACAAGTGCTAGTTTGTTTTTGCAGTTTGTTCCACTTGTAGACATGTTGATGATTCTTGCAGTCACAGAAGTAATCAAAAAAAGGTCGTAAGAAACTTTTTTTCATATTGGAAAAATACCGTTCATTCCAAAAAACGAAGAAGTGTTTGCTCTTTCTTTTTTTTTTTCTACTCTGACAATTTAAACGGATCAAACTTATCAAAACAGAATTGATCATGGTTTGTTGTTTTTTCCGAGTAACGACATCAAATTAATCATCGATTAAACGGTCATCACTTACTGTAGTAAAATGTACCAGCAAAGACGAAAGATTGTAAACTGTGGAGGGTTAGGCGTAGAATGAAAAAGTAAAAAAAGTTGTGCAGTACAAAGAACCACTGAGCAATGACCAGAAAAAATTAGAAGTTTGAAGAGTGTAGAAAAAGACTGAAAAAAGGAAAATAAATGAAAAGGAAGAGAACGATCGTTACAGCGCCGTTACGACGTCACCAAAAAGTTCATTAATCTTCTGATTTTGGGCCGATACTATGATCACGTAGTGTCTAATTTAGTGTTGGTAGTCTACCGGTTTCAATTTTGCCAAGTATATCTTTTGTAATAGTAAATTCTGCAAGTAAATGTACCTTTGCAAAATATTATGCTGAATCACTTTTACGGTTAAAGCAAGTAATTATTCAACAGTTTGATTCCTGGCCGTCTTTCATGCTGAGAATGGGACTAGTGAATTACCTTGCACCTTGTGTTACAAAACTCTGTTTGACAAGTAGTTGGTTTATATTTAGTAAAATACTTTAGTAAAAAATATAACGCCCAATAATTTAATTCTACTTGGATTTAGAGTTCCTCAAAAGAAAACTTACTTTGCTCACTGTTAAATTCTTGTACAATGAAAGTACTTTACTATGGTACGACAGAAAAAAAATTATTTCGCGGATGAGCTTAAGATTTCTACTGATTGCAGTAAAAAATTCAGTTTCAAGCAAGCATACAAATTACAACAAGGTTAAAATAATATTTTCTTTTGGGCTAATAAAAGACAGCTCAGTCTATCTCTAACAAACACGTGGCTTTGAAATTTGTTTCAGATTTTCTAATAATGCGCATTAATACACGTAAAAATGAATTTGCCAAAAGTGTAAAAAATAAAAAAAAAAACTAAGATTGCTTTGAAGTTAAGTCAAAAACGACGCTTAACGATTTTCAGAAAGACCGCTTTAATTGAAAATTTCACCGCCGAAACGATGAAAAACTTAGAAGTATTTTGAAATCAAGAAATAGTTGAGGTGACAGCGGCTTCCAACTGAGCAGAATGAAGGAGGGTAAGAAAGAACGCCGCTTGGGAATATGGGATGTGTTCCTTTTTTAATATTGAACCGTTTTTAAAAGTGCAGCATGTTTACAGACAAAGGTTACCTAAATAACTGCAGTTCAAAAACTTCTGGGGAAGAAAGTCTATTTCATCTTTGATTTTTATCATTTTTTATATTCTGGCCAGCATATACTTTTTCCTTTATTTTTACTGTATGATTTTATATTCTTTTTTATATTATTTAGCTTTTTATCAAGTAATCATTATACGTGAATATATGAACTATAACCGAAAAAGGTTAAATTGTCTAAATTACAGAATTGGATTAATGAAGCGCTGAGAACTCATGCTAGTTTTATGTGATAGGTTGAGACGTTGTAAAAGAGTTCTGCTGATAACGGATTTTCTGTAAAGAAAAGAGCAAAGAAGGTTCAGCAATTGATTCCGAAGACACTCTGTTCTTTTTCAAGCACTGTGTACGGCCTCACTTGGCTAATGTAAAAAATCTATAGTTTTTTAGTATTTTTTAAATAACATTGACTAAGCTTTAGCTTATTTAGTAATGACCTCACATCCTTCCTACTACTTAAATTTTTTCTTGTCAAGTAAGATCTAGCTAAATACATGTAAATTGAATATTCGACGTAAACTTCTGCTAAAGCGGCACAATAATAAATATTTAAAGGGTATGAGCAAGCTTTTATAATATAACTTTACTGGAACGCAACGACTGTAAGCAAGAAGGCACGCACCGATTCCGACAAAAGAAGCAAGAAAACCAAGAAGAATTTCTAACACTCAATGCTGAAAAAAGCCAATAAAAAAGTTGATACGTATATTCTCTTCTCAACCTATAAACATTCTTTAGTCAGAAAGTCAGAATTCTGTTATTAGCAGCTATTATAGGTTGTACTGTTCAGATCTTACCGCAACGGTAGTGTGCGTTTGCAGACTCTTCTGTTTCAAAAGCAAGGTTTGGAACTCAATACTCAAAAAAGTAGACCTTAAAAGAGAAGACGAATTAAGAAAATGCTTTATCTCTGAAAGAATACTAGGTAAATCGCAGTCACTTTAAAATTTTTGACAACAGAAAAACAAAAGTTACTCAAGGAAGCATATTGTTTACTCCTACCACTACATAAGAGCAAAGAAGCCAAAAAGTACCTATTGCTTTAAGACAAAACATTAAACGTGGTATCTTAGCGTATGAATTATGGCTGTAAGATCAGTAATCAAAAACTGATACTGACGGTTGTCATTGTTCCTTTTAAGACGATCATTTGAGCTCTAGAAATTATGAAAATTTAGAATAAGAGAAAGAAGACTCCTTTTCAACAGAGATTCTTATGTCGTAAAATTCAACAGATTTCTACGTTGGTTGCCTTACTTTAATTCTCGCGTTCAAAACACTTAATGTCTCTAGTTTCTCACAACTTTGCGTGACTTTCAAATTCATATATTCTTCTGGCAAAACCAAAAGTTTTGCTGCGAAAAGAGCTCTTACCAAGTCAAGCACCTGTTACCCTAGAAGGCTTGTCTACGTTTTTTACAGCACGTTTTTGTAGTTTTCGTATTTGCTCGTAGAAGTGAATAATTTTTGGCTGGTCGTTTGAGTAGACCGGACTATGACATTCCTTTGCTATCACCAGGGAATGCCTGTATATTTAGAACTGTATTAAAAAAAGG